CATGATGGAGCATGTTCATCCCAGCTGGGAGACAGCACTGATCATCCCCATCCTTCCTGACTCTCATGTGGGTGTTCCAGCTTGCACTTTTATCCATGGAGAGCTGGTGGGGAAAACTATAGCTGGGTAGTAAGTATAGCCAGGATGGAAAGCCTGCAGAAGAGGCAGGAGGGTGCAAGTCACAGCCATGGACACATGTTACAGTGCTTTTTTGGGACAGATCTGCTAATGAGTGAAGCAATATGCTCAGGAAGCCCCCACGAACTAAGTATGGAACCTGCAGGAGCTCAGCCCATTCCTCCATGGTGCCCATCACATGAGGCTGAGCTTCCCTGCATGGCCATGGCCCTGAGGGGGCTCATAGCCCTGGAGCTCACAGCCACTGCCAGCCTGCCCTGCAGTACTGCAGGCTCTGCCATGAGCACCAGCAGCTCCTCAGTGGGAACAAATCCATCAAAGGGAGGCATTTTGCTCTTCCATGACTAAAGAGGATTTTTTCTGAGGCGAGCTGGACCTCCTTGTTTTGGAGAACCTGGCAGAGTTTTTCCCTTCAAGGTGAGATGAAAATGCTCATCTGCAAAGTTAAAAGGTACATGGGAGCATGTTCTGACTTCTACAGCATCATCTCCTCCCTGATGGCCACAGTAAGGGGCAGACTGGTAGGTGGCTTCTCAGAGAAAAGCCAATGGGAGCTGCAGGCAAGGGAAGGAACAGGAGGAAACCCATATCCAAGCTCCTCTCCAGGAGATAAAATGAGGGAGCAATAGAGGGGGCTGCCCACAGGGGCACACTGAAAGGGAAAAGGGAAAAGGAGGGAGGCTTTGCTTTCTGCAGTGGGGCATTAGTGCCAGAGCATCTGCAGCCCAAGCCTGTGGTTATTCGGTTGCTGCAGGCTTGGTGGGCAGGAAACAGCTGCTGGTGAGTCTGTGCCATCACGAGCCGGAGCCACACTTGATTTCTGAGAGGAAGCAGGTCTCACAGACAGCGTCGGCCCATCTGCAGCGAGATGGATGGTGGTGAGTGAGACGTCACAAGCCCTTTCCTTCCTGCACAAAAGGTGCCCTGTGATGTGTGAAATACAGACAGTCCCCTCTCAATTGCTATTTTTGCCAGTATTTATTTATCTTGTTTGACTTAGTGGTGCAAAATCTTGCAAGCATTAAGTTTGTTGAATGGGGACATGAAGTTTTCTGTAACCAGTTCTCTGCCCGAGGGACTCAGTGAGGGGTGTCTGCAGCTGCCAAGCCAAAGCTTCTGACCTTCCCTTGCCTGCAGACACCTCCTAAAGGGTCTGCTGGGACTGGCCCTGATCCCACAGAAATGCAGTGGGAGCAGGATTTCGGGTCTATCTTTGGGCAAAACCAGGCTGTGCAAAGTGGCCACAGAAGCAAAAATGGTATTCAAAGGCTGGAGGTGGCAGGTTTAAAGCAGCTGAAGGGCAAGCTGACTTACTTTGATTGATATACCTATCTGAACTGGCTTTTCCCTGCCTAAATAGTCTGCTGTGCTGTGCTGAGCAGTGCCAGTGACATTTTGGCAGTGCCAGGTGGGTAGGTGTGGTGGGGTGTGCGACTGCGGGACCAGCCAAAGCCCAGTATCACTCAGCTTGGGAAGTTCCCAAAATGTTCACTGGAGGAGTTTCAGCTCTGAGTCATGCTACTGTGCACACTGGGGAGTTGGGACTGTTTTGCTGAAGGCAAAGCCATGAAATTGTGACTGCATAGAGGGCAGAGAGCAGTGCCACAGGTCTGGGTGCCCCAACCAAGACCAAGGGGCTCTGGGCAAAGCCTGAAGTAGAAAGCACAATCCTGGACACAGGTCTGGCCCTAAGCATCACCATGATAAACTTAATTGTTCCACAAATAATAACACAAAAGGAGATAATTATTCTAGCCCGCTGGAATGGCCCTTGTGCTACTGCCTGGCCCTATGGGATAGGGAAAGAAGCAGGGGGATTTATTCACCAAGGAGTGCCCAAGGGAGGCTGAGAATGAGCAGAATGAGCCGGCAAAGCTGCAGGAGGTGAGGCACTGGGGGATGGCGCTGCTTCAGCCTAGGAATGCAAGAGGAACTGGAAACTGCTGGCTCTTTCTGGCTTCAGCAGCAGCTGAGATGGTCGCCCATGGAACACAGCAGCACTGACACAGGAGGCAGGAGTAAGGGGCTGACCCAAACCTGTGGATTTGGGTTTTGACTCTGGCTGCAAATTCTGCTGCCCAAACACACTCCCCACTAGCCTGACAGATTCCCAGCACACTTTTCCAGAAGTGCCAAAAGACCATGTGTGAGTGATGCCACTGTGCCAGGGCAGCCACAGATGCGTACCTCCAGTGTTACCAGTGCACACCAGGAGCTGGGGTCCTGCCTGTGAATTTAAAGGCTCTGCCTTGCCCACCAGAAAAACTTAGAAAAGATTGTATGGAAAAAACCCTCTGGCCTCTCCTAACCTTTGGGCACTTGCTCTCTATGTATTGTTCTTCTCGCGTGTTTTTTGGCAAGTTGGTTTATCCCACAATAGCACATGAATTCTGCCGTGGCAGCAGATCACTAGGTAAGAGAGTCCTGCTGGAGAGCTACAGCCTCAGCAGACAGGACTGGTGAAGGGGACACAGCTGTAACTGGCATTTTGTTGTCAGGAGCCCAAGCCAGATCTCCGTTAGCAGCCCATGGACACTGTCTCCAGGGCTCCATATGGCTGAGTGGGCAAGGCAGGCTTTCTGGAGCTGGGGGACTCATCCAGGACCCCCAAGAGGGGATCTGGCAATAGTCCTTGGTTTCTGAAGAGGCTGAAGATCTCTCAGGATGGGCATGGGAGTTTGCATGTGTGGCTGGCTCAGAGGCAGCTCTTTGTTGCTGCTGTCTTTTCTGACTGCTCTCCTTCCTCTTCCCCGGGCAGCCGGACACAGGCACACACAGCCAGTCTAAGGCTCTTGCAAAAACCCACTGAGTGCAGGTAGTGCCTCTCAGCCCTTCCCAGCAGGAGAGCAGCCTGCCCACTGGGCACTGCCACTGGCCCCGCTGTCAGCACACCATGGTTTATGTGTGCTCCCCGCTTGCCTGAAGCACAGCCAACAAATTAAACCTTAAACCATAAGTTACAGATGTTTTTGCTTGTGGTTCCTGGGCCTGGGCAGATCAGGTAGAAGGAACTTGGGGTGGAGAAAACCCTTGCCATTAGTCACAGCCTTTCACAGGAAAGCACAGATCCTTCACCTGCAGTCCCTCACACCTTGGCTGGTGGAGCAGAACTGCCAGCTCTGCACTCTGCAGCTCTTGAGAAATCACAGAGCTGAGCTTGCACCCCAGTAAACAAAGTCCAGTTGCGTTTTTCTTCTGTGACTCATTCATCAGTATGTAATTGCTCAGGAGTAATAGAAAGTGCCTGGCAAGGGACAGGGCTGCCTGGCAGGTGACTAAACTGATGGAGCTTTGCTGCTGCCCTGCTCAAAAAATCCCCATTCCTATCCTCCTTCTTCCAGCTCCATTCTCATAATTATTATTTTTGACCTCAGGAGGACTGAGGATAGAGCATGGAATCTATTTCCGTGCAAGACACCTTTAAAACATGACATTTTCCTGCTGCTTCATTAAGTGCTGTCCTCCTTTAGTGGCCTGACTTTTTGAGTCCTGAATCAGACACATCCTCTGATGAAATGTTTTGTAAGTAAATAATAACTAAAACCATGTGCATTAATTTGAACTACCACAGGCACGTAAAAATGGCACAGACCACACCACGCAGACAGAGCATGGGATTAAGATTGTGGGTGAGGAATATGCAGTTAGAACATTGTATTGTGTTGGAACTGGGTTGGTGAGAGGTGGCTGAGTTTTGGGGAGGGTTACATTTTTTTGATTCAGGGTCTTGGTTTTCATATAAATGAAATTTTGTAACTCTCACATGGTAAGAATAATACCGAATTAGGGAACTTCATAACAGTTCTGTGCTCCCTGTAAAAAGTTCAATTCTTAGGTCCTTAGCAGGGAAGATGAAAAATATGAATATGTATTAACTTTATGCTCAAGGGTGTTTCCTCTGGATTGTGGAGATGACAGTGCAAGAGGGAGAAGTTTGCTCTGCTGCTTCCTATATTGTACCACCTTTGTAAATAACAGGAAGTGCTTTTTCTTTTAAACTGTCGGTTTGGCACTTTTCACCAGCTCTTAAAAATTGTACATATGTGTATATATATATACACACAGTGTACACAAGGGAGAGGAAGGTGTTTGTGGAATTGGAATGTTTGTTGCCTGTTTATTTTGTGAATGGTTTTGGCAGTGGGAGAAACTGCCTGCAGGAGCAGATTCTCACCGGCTTAAATGCTTCATCTCCTTTGTCTAGGTGAGGAGGAGGGTTGAGGAGGGTTGAGCTGTGTTGCTGTTGCAATGGCTCCTGCAGCTAAAGCGCCTTATACCGGCCTCATGCCATTGCTCAGAGTGAAATGCTCTCAAGAAGTGCTGTGGGGTCACCTGGACAGCCATGCAGCCAGAGGATCAGCCTGCCTTGTGTGTCTGGGAGCACAGCTAGCTGGAGGTTCATCCTAGAGCCAATGGGATGGGGGCTGGAAGTTTAAAAAGTGAGTAGGAGCCATGTGCAGGCAAGAGCAGTGCGGGAATGAAAGGCTTGCCAAGCTGAGCTCGAGGCTGACATCTTATTACAGGCATGAACTGTACTGGGGAAGCTGATCGTGGAGGAGGGAGGAGATGCTGAATGACTTGCATAGCCTGGAATTACTCCCCCGCTAATTAAGAGGAACGGAAAGAAGTGCAGCAAGGAGTGAGGCTTGAGGAAACCTAATGCTGCTGTGAGCATGTGGGAATATTCCTGGCCTCTGGAGTGATCATGCAGCCACCCACTGGGAAAGGGCCCCATGGGATGTCACCTTAGCTCCCCTCTCCCTGTGGCCAGGGAACATATATCAGATGTGAGCTCTGGGCCAGCTCTGGGCTTCCAAATAAAGATTAAGACTACTAGCATGTGTGAATAATCCAGTCGTAACTGCCAGTCAATTTTCTTCAGTTTATTACAGACCTGCTCTCTCACAACCAGCTTCAGCCCAAGAGGCATGGATTTGAAACAAAATTTTTAAATATCCAAGGGAAGTCATCAGTTTTAAATGGTGAGATACACATACCAAACCAGATTTTTATATTAAGATGATCATGATGGCACCAGCTGGATAAATGAGAAGACTCTCAACAAGCCGTGCTGCTTGGCTTCGACAGTCAGCCTGATGAACAAGAGGCATATTTTAAGCAGTGGGAACTGGGGGATATAATTGTTTCTTACACAAGAGACTGTGCATGCTTTTACTTTAGAACAAAGAGAAATCAGAGATCTCTTGCCCTCTAAATCTGTTTGGTAAACCAATGCTCACCTCTCCAAACCAAGGAGCTGTTCCCAAGCCAGAGAGGCTCTGGGCCCACACACAGGCAGTTGGGGAGTGGAGGTGGGAGGTTTGAGCAAGATGCCCTGTGCAGCCCTGCCTTGGCAGCTCATGGCCAGAAAGCCTGGGTCCATTCTGGAAACAAAGGAGGTCTTTTGCTGGATGTGCTGTACAGCAGAAGTGTGGTGGCTTGTGTGGCTTTTTGCTCCCTGACCCTTATTTAAATGAAATGCAGAGTAATTTGTATCTAAGTGGAGTTGTTCTGTCTCATTAGCGTGATTAAATAGATGGCAGAGCGTTACTAAGTTCATTGTCAGAGAAACTGTTGCTTAGTAATTTAAACTGCGATAATCTCATTATTCCGTCTTTTTTTTCTTACAATGGTAGTGGCTCTGTTGTTACCCACAGTTCATGGCCTTGTATGCAAACCTTCATAACTGCGATTGCATTTCAGACATCAGACACTGGCTCGGAGAAGTCATCCAGGGTAAAGCCGAGTAGGGGGAGCTTCCAGGACTTTAGGCTGTGTTTGCCTAAGTGAGAGTTTTGGTGGAATAGAAACAGAAGCACGGGATGAACAGTGACCTCAGTCACACAGCCCTCCGAGCTTCAAGGGACGCTCAGATGTTCTTCCTCTGCCTCCTCAACGGGGTGAGTGATGGAAGTGCCCTGGTCACGTCCGAACGTGTAACACGCCAACAGAGAAGTGGTTTCCAAGCAGGCACTGAGGGGAAGTGACTGAGAGCTTTGTCCATGGCTGCTGCGGCCTGAGGAGGTGTAACCCACAGGTCAGGGAGCCGTAATAACCCACAGGTTGGGAGCTGTAATAACCCACAGGTCAGGGAGCCGTAATAACCCACAGGTTGGGAGCTGTAATAACCCACAGGTCGGGAGCTGTAATAACCCACAGGTTGGGAGCTGTAATAACCCACAGGTTGGGAGCCGTAATAACCCACAGGTCGGGAGCTGTAATAACCCACAGGTTGGGAGCTGTAATAACCCACAGGTTGGGAGCTGTAATAACCCACAGGTCAGGGAGGTGTGCGGGGCTGGTTCCTGCCTGTGGGTGCTGGGTGGTGGCTCCAAGCTTGGTTACAAGAGAGGGTACCCGGCGGGCCCGCACGGGCGGAAGGGCCGACATGGAGGGGCCGCTTCTTCCCGGGGTCCCGCTTCTCTCCGCGGTCCCCATCTCTAGCCGGCGTTTCCCCTGCGTTTCCCGTGGAAGGGCCGGGCCGGGCGGAACCGAGCGGCCTCCGCAACCCAGTCCCGTTCCCCTGCCCCGGCTCCCCTGGCAACAGCGGCGCTGGCGGCCACCCAATCAGCGCGCGGCGCCGCGGGCCCAGCCAATGGGGAGGCGCGCATGAGGGCGGAGCCCGCCGGAGCGGGGAGGGCCGGCCACGCGCCGCGCCGCCATCTTGACGTCTGAGGAACAAAAGCGCTGAGGCCGCCGCCGGCGCCGGCCCCGCTCCAGGTAACGGGCGCGTCCCGCTCCCCGCGCTCCCCCGCACGTTGATGCTGTCCCCTTCCCCCGGGAGCAGTTGTGAGGGGGCGGCCTGGGGGCCGCCTGTGCAGGACTCAGCCCCGCCCGCTCGCAGGTCGGTGCCCGGCCCGGCGGAGGCGGGGGAGGGCGGCTGCCCGACGGGGATGGTCGGCGGCACCCTCGGGGCATTGCCGGGCTCTGTGGGGAGGAAAGGAGGGGCTCTGTCCTGGCGGCACCCCGGGGATGCGGGTCGGCGGTGGGGGGATAGCGGTGGCAGCGCTGGCAGAGCATCCCCGTCCCCGGCGCTTCCTGCGCCCCCGCGGGGGTTGCGGGGCTGGGGCTGGGCCGGGCCCGGCGCGGGGCGGCCGCGCCTGTATCGCTTATATCTGCCTTGCATCTGCCTCCCATCACTGGTATCTGCCCATCCCGGGGCTGGTGGTCACCCCTTGCTCGGCGGTTCCCTGAATCCCAGGACGTTGTCTGCCCGTTCTGCCCGGGCGATGGGTGTGATGCGGCTCTGACCGCTGTGTTGTACTCTCGCTAATAGTTTACAATGAAAAACGGGTGCTGCGGGATGTGTTGCATAAGTAGACGTGCTGCTCACGGATACCCTTTTCCCGTGTAAGGTGGGAGTGGTGGGCGATGCCTTGTTAGGAACTGGTGCCAGCATCACGGTTTTATAATGCCTTGTTAACGTGGCTTGGGACGTGCGGGCGTTAAAACAAAAACTTACGGCTGAGGCTTTGGAAATAGGCATCCAGCTTAAGAAAATAAATGTTATCGTTGTTGATGGAATAACAACTTCTTGGTAGTTACACCCTGATATGTCCTTGGCCTTATTTCCACTGTGAAAAGTATGCGTGTTTAACACTGATATCTTTCCTGATATGTGCTGGAATTTAATCACCCTCCCCTTCAAGGCTGTATTTTTTCTTTTTTGTCTTTTGATACAGTGCCTTAGTTGTCCCATAGACTCAGGTGTTTTAGAAATTCATCCAGTGCCCATGTGCTTTTTTAGACTCATGAACATTTAAAGGGACAGTTGTGTGTCAAATATTATTGTTAGAATTTTGCTTTAATATATAATTCTGGAATATTAATGTTTGCTTTAACTTTTCACTCAAATGATGTATTATTGGTCATTGCTCAAACTGTAACACTGAAGTGAGAGTAGAACAGTTCAAATTTGACACTTGAGAATTATGAAGTCAGGGTTATTTTGGCCAAGAATTGGCATCTTTGCTCTTAATTTTGCTTAGAGAATAATAAAAACATATATAAGATAAAAACTAGTTTTGAAATTGTCTTTAAGTTGAAATTAACTTGTGTTTTTTCAGGACTTAACAATAGCATTAAGGAAGGGAAACTAAGTTTATGTACACATGTGTCCACACATAAATGTGTGTGTTTTAAAAAGAGACTGATTGATTTGTTTATGTTTGGCTGATTGACATCTTCACGATAGTTTGGGGGTTTTTTTTAATTAAGGTATATTACTGAATGAGGAAGAGTGTAATAATTTAAGTGCCAGAATTCAGGAAAGTTTCTTAAAAAAACAATAATTTTAAGTGCTCAGAAGTGTCTCCTGGGTAAGGGCCGTGGGAGGGATTGCAGCCACTCGTGTGTATGTGTTTGTGAAAAATTTCAAACCTTAAGCTTGTCCATGTATCTTTCCATAAATTTATATTTGTTTAATTGAAAAGCTGTTTTTCAGCCTTTGCTGTCTTTGAAATTTATACCTTTCTGAGGTAACGGTCTGTAAGCTTCTCTGTGGTACTTTGGTCACAGAAGCAATGTAAGCTGTTGCTGTTTCTTCTTGAGGAAAGGTGGATCGGAGCTGTCCTAACCGTGTGGTGTGGTAATTTGGGAAGCAGCTGGAAAACTGGATGGTGGTCAGTCATATGAATGCTGGGCTTTGTGCTCTCAAAAATTCTTTCCCTACCAGTTGCTTGCAAAGAGGACTTTGGATTTGTTAGGCACGAGGTTGGGAAAAACCGGGATGAGAAAAGATGTTAAAGAAAGAACCTCTTTGCTGCCTGTCAGTGGATGGGCTTCCATCCAGGTCACTGGTGTGGGAGTACTTTAGTTGTTCTCCGGTCAGCTGGGGAGTGTGAGGCTATTTTGGAGATGCTTTTTTCCTTTGGAGGGTAGGGGAAGGGTGCAAACCTCGAGGCACTGAGGGTGCCTTAGTCTGTCAGCAGTGGTGACACACAAATGTCTGCCCTTTTGTTTTAGGCATAGGTGGAGGCAGGGAAGTGTGTGCTGTCAGGTCGGTGGTGGAAGACCTACTTTACTCATGGAATTTATCAGAAAGGATAAATTAAATAAAGTCATTCTTTTAAATCTCTTAGTTCTTTACTGCCTGAATATGTTCGGTGAGTTGAATTAGATAAGATCTGGGGAAATTCTGGAGTAACTGGTATTAAATATCAGTTCTTTCCAACAATTCTTATCTGATGGTTTGGAGATTGGGAGGCAGCTGAAGTGTTTCTTTGAGAGGTCAAGAGTGCTGCTCCTGCAGCCTTGTCCATGCCTGCCTGAGGCTGGGATCTGAGGTCCAGATCCAGAATAGGCAAAACAAGTGTCTCCTCTGTAATACATCTGATGCAGACCTGCCCAGGGAGCTGCACTTTAGGTGAGAAAGGCTGGGTTTTGAAGTGAAACAAGATTTTATGTGGCTTTTAAAGCTAAGCTGAGCTGTAGCTTCTTCCTTTTTGATGTAGTTCACTGGTTTTCTCAATATTTCTGCACCAGTGCTTAGACTGAGAACTCGTTGAATGGGTAGAGCATATTCCAAAAGTTTTGATACTGCATCAAAAGATGGAGAGGGCAGAAATTGAGGTGCGACTAAAAATTTTAACTTGGATGTGCTCTTTACTGCATGTAGGGATAAGAGCCAAGTACGACGGAGCTCGAAGCTTTCTTAGGCTGACATTTAACGTTCACAATAATTCTTGTTTTTCTAGTGAGCACGGGCTAGAACCATTATCTGAAAGCTGTCAGGTTTTTACACTGATGTGTGGAAAAAACTTGCCGCCTCTCATTCAGCTCATCCACTTATCAGCTGTTGAATTTGCTGATGCTGAGCTCGTCCCTGTTGGCAAGAAACTGCGGTTGGTCTCCAGGCAACGCAGGTCCGGCTGAGCATCTCTGCCTTGCTTGAAGAGAGGAAAATTTTCCATTGCGGGGAGAGGATTTTTCCTCTTGCTAATTCTTTTTATCTGGCTTCCCGTCTTGCCCAAGGTTACTGCATCTTTGAAACAATATAAGGGTAGTTTACAAATATGAAGAGGTTACATTTGAAGAGCTTTAAGGTATAACTGCAGATGTGTGTTGTCTATAACTTTTGTTAAAAATGTCTCATTAGAATGTTAATTTGGGGCCTTTCTTAGTAGCTGTTTAATTTCAAAATAATTCTTCCCCCCTCCCCTTTGTAAAAAACTGTATGACATTGTATCATGTGCTGTAAGTAACCTGAAATTTCTCCTTCTGCAAAGTCTGAAATACTGGAAGGCACCATGGAAGCAAAATTATCAAATGAAGGTCCAACATTGCTTGTGTTTAATTGGGTGTTTAGGAGCTTGAAATCTGAAATGTTCTGCAAATTCTTGGCTTGTGTAGCACAGTCTTTGAAGTCCTGACTGTTCTCTGAAAGACAGGCTGTGTTTAGAATAAAGTAATGATAATCTTCATAATAGGTACAGAATGTACCACTCTGCTGTTATCAGATACTTAACCTGCAGCCTTTGACCCAGTGTCTGGATTGCTCGTGGAAGTGGAGGATTGTCTCTTGGAGATGGCTGGAACCAGTTAGAGCCCAGTTTTGCATTGTTTTACTGGAAAAAGTAAGCTTTGCTTATAAAATGGTTTTGACCACTGAGAGTTTTGCTTTGTGAAGGCAAACTCTGTGTGTGTGCTGTGATGGATGGTCGGGTGAGAGACAACAAGCCGTGCCTGGTTTGGAGCTGTGCACGTGCTCATCAGCCAGTTAAGGGCCCAAACAGAACAGGGAAGTCCTGAATTCACACAGTAGCCATTCAGCTGTACTGTCTCTTTTGGTTCTTGCCTGCTTCTCTTCTGTCCTGCTCTGTTGAGATCCAAAAGGTTGGAAGGAACTGGAAAAAAAAAAAAATCATTTGGATGACTTGCTGAAGCTGGTTAATAGTGCCCCAGGTTGTTGAGACTTAAAACAAACAGGCTCAAGGGCAGATGATAAAATTATTGAGGCAATTTTTTGTCAGAAAATCATAGTTAGAAGAAGCAAGAGTTTGGGGGCTTATGCCAAAGTCTGTATTAGAATGAGCACAGCAAAAATGATTTTATTTTCTTGAAGCACAGAGGGCTTTAAGCATACCCAAATAACTGTGCAGTGCTGTGATGCAGAAATTTTCTACAGTGCCTGAAACCTTATCAGGAATTTTGGGTGCTGCTTAATTTCATGCTTATTGAAGATGACCTCTTTTCTTTTAACATTTGCTCTTTTCATTTTTCATATCTTTTTCCAGAAGAACAGTAATTTATTTGCCTTTATTTTGGATATATGGAGACAGTGTGATGACAAGTGATTATTTTTTTTTAATCATTATGACATCAGATTAATGAGGTTCCTTGTTACAAAAATGAGGAGTTAAATTGCTGACACAATAAGCATCATCTTGACCTCTCTGAGGTGTTGGCACTTTCAGAAGGTTGATTCAATTTAACAGGAGATACGAGGTTAAATTGATGGGGGTGTGTGTTCATACTGACATAATTGTCATTGTAACTGGGAATCTGTTCAAGCTATTTTAGGAAAATTGGTTCTGGCTTTATGGCACCAGTCAG